ATCACCGTTGTCCTCTCTTGGGCAGGAGGCTCGGTGACGGCCCAGGCGCTGGTAGACTCTGGGGCTGGCGGTTTGTTTATGGACAGTTCGTTTGCGGCCCAGTACTCCATTCCTCTGCAGGCTCGAGAGACTCCATTGGTTCTCGAGGCGATAGATGGCAGGCCCTTGCAGCCATCGCAGGTTACCCACGAGACCCTGCCGGTGGAGGTAGCTATTGGGGCTGTTCACAGGGAATTGGCCTGTTTCCAGGTAATTTCTTCCCCGCACTACTCCGTGGTTTTGGGCTATCCCTGGCTTCAGAGGCACAATCCGACCTTTGATTGCGATCGGCCGAGATTCTCTCATGGTCACCACGGTGTGGGGCTGGTTGCATCCGTGGTCCGGTTAAGGTGCTGTGCACCTCCTCGGACTCTGTGCTGCCCACTGAATATGGGGAGTACCTGGACGTGTTTGACAAGGTGCGCGCCGGTGCTCTGCCTCCTCATCGTCCATACGATTGTGCCATAACCTTACAAACTGGTGCTACTCCTCCGCGTGGCAGGGTGTATCCTCTTTCGGTGGCAGAGAATCAGGCCATGGAGGAATACGTTGCGGATGCGCTTTCCCGGGGGCACATTCGCAAGTCTACGTCTCCAGCAGGAGCTGGGTTTTTTTTTGTGAAAAAGAAGGGAGGTGAGCTGAGACCCTGCATTGATTTTAGGGGTCTCAATCGGATCACGATTAAAAATGCTTATCCTATTCCGTTGATCAATGAGTTGTTTGACCGCCTCAAGGGAGCAACGGTCTTTACTAAACTCGACCTTAGAGCTGCCTACAACCTTGTACGGATCAAGGAGGGCGATGAGTGGAAGACCGCGTTCAACACCAGAACCGGCCACTATGAATACCTGGTTATGCCCTTCGGGTTGTGTAACGCACCCGCGGTCTTTCAGGAGTTTATTAACGATGTCTTACGTGACTTGTTGCAGCAGTGCGTGGTGGTTTACTTGGACGACATCCTGGTTTACTCTGCGTCTATGGAGACTCATATATCCAGGATGTTAAGCGGGTGCTGCAACGGTTACGTGAAAACAAGCTTTTCTGTAAGCTCGAGAAGTGTGAATTTCACCAATCCCAGGTTGCCTTTTTAGGCTACATCATTTCCCCGGTGGGTTTTTCTATGGACCCTGAGAAGGTTTCAGCGGTTCTGCAGTGGCCTCGTCCCAGTGGTCTTCGGTCCATTCAGCGCTTTTTGGGATTTGCCAACTATTATCGGAAGTTTATCAGGAACTTTTCCACATTGGCAAAGCCTCTCTCAGATCTGACCAAGAAGGGCAGTAACCCTCACGAGTGGTCACCCGAGGCCATCTCAGCTTTCAAGGCTCTGAAAGCCGCCTTCACTTCGGCCCCAATTCTGTCTCATCCCAATCCTGGGTTGCCTTTTGTTCTCGAGGTTGATGCATCTGAGACAGGAGTAGGCGCCCTCTTGTCCCAGCGTCGGTCACCCGAGGGACCCCTACTTCCTTGTGGGTTCTACTCCAAGAAGCTTTCCTCTGCAGAGTGCAACTACCAGATTGGAGACAGGGAGTTGTTGGCCATTATTCTGGCTCTCAAGGAATGGAGGCACCTGCTTGAGGGTTCTGTGGTCCCGGTCCTAGTTCTCACTGACCACAAGAACCTCACATATCTCTCGGAGGCTAAGAGGTTGACACCCGTCAGGCCAGGTGGGCTCTGTTTTTGTCACGTTTTAACTATGTGGTCTCTTACTTGCCTGGTTCCAAGAATGTCAGGGCTGATGCCTTGTCGCGGCAATACTCTGAGCTGTCCAGGGAGGACACTGAGCCGACCTCGGTCATTCCTCCAAACCAGATCCTGGCTGCCATTCGTACCAACCTGACTTCTCCCCTTGGGGAGCAGATTTTGGCGGCTCAAACTAACGCTCCCCCTGAGAGACCGGCTGGAAGATGTTTTTGTACCTGAGGGATTGCGTACCCGCTTGCTACGTACCTACCATAATTCCAAGACTGCCGGTCATCCTGGTAGGAACCAATTGTCCTGGGTCGTTTCTCGGTTATTCTGGTGGCCATCTCTCCGTTCTGACATCGCCTCATATGTAGCAGCTTGTTCGGTCTGTGCCCAGAATAAATCTCCTCGGCACCTTCCATTGGGCCTTCTGCAACCCATTCCCAATGGGGAGCGTCCCTGGTCACACCTGGGAATGGATTTTATTGTGGATCTTCCTGCGTCTCAAGGTCATACGGTCATTCTTATGGTGATCGATCGTTTTTCTAAGATGTGCCATTGCGTTCCGTTCAAGAAATTGCCGACTGCACAAGAACTGGCTACGGTTTTCGCCAAGGAGATCTTTCGCTTGCACGGGTTGCCCAAGGTGATTGTCTCGGACCGTGGGAGCCAGTTTGTGTCCAGGTTCTGGCGCGCCTTCTGCTCCCAGTTGGGTATCGAGCTTTCCTTCTCTTCGGCCTACCACCCTCAGTCCAATGGGGCTGCGGAGCGTTCCAACCAGGCCCTGGAACAATTCCTTCGTTGCTATATATCGGATCATCAGGACAACTGGGTCGATCTCCTGCCATGGGCAGAGTTTGCGAGGAACTCGGCTGTCAACTCCTCCTCTGGGATGTCCCCCTTCATGGCCAACTATGGGTTCCAACCCGCTGTATTGCCTGAGTTGTTCTCTCCACAGGACATTCCGGCTGTGGATAACCACCTGGCTGCTCTGCGCTCCTCATGGGGGCAGATTCAGAGGTCCTTGAAGGACTCAGCACAGCGCCAGAAGCTCCAGGCTGATCGTAGACTGTTGCCCGCTCCCTCATACCAGGTCGGAGATCGGGTGTGGTTGTCCACTCGCAACCTCAAGCTTCGGGTGCCCGCACCAAAGCTGGCCCCCCGTTTTGTTGGTCCTTTCCGCATTCTTCGCAGGGTGAACCCGGTTGCCTATGCCCTTGCTCTTCCTCCTGGGATGCACATCTCCAATGTCTTCCACGTATCCCTGTTGAAACCTCTGATCTGTAATCGCTTTACTGCCTCTCCGCCTCGGCCTCGTCCTATCAGGGTCGACGGCCATGAGGAGTATGAGGTGAGCCGCATCTTGGATTCTCGGTTGGTCCGCGGTCGGGTACAGTTTTTGGTCCATTGGCGTGGTTATGGTCCCGAGGAACGTTCCTGGGTTCCTTCCACGGATGTTCATGCTCCTGCCCTCCTCCGTGCTTTTCACGCCCGATTTCCTCAGAAACCTTTTGTTGAGCCACGGAGGGGGAGGGGCCCTTGAGGAGGAGGTACTGTCAAGGTCCTACCTTTCTTCAGAGCTTGTGCATCTCCATGAGCTGGCATCCATCTTGGTTTTCTGCAAAGCATGGTGGGAACCTTTATGCCTTCAGGCTTCTGTGGCTCCTCCTCAGAAGGGTGTGGTTGAGCACATTTAAACCTGCTGTCTGCAAGTGTGCTCTGCACTTGTGTCCTGTATGTTGCCCTGTTGCAAGCTCTTGTGTTGTTCCCATTGCTCTCCTGGTAACCGACTCGGCTTGGACAAGACTACTCTCTGCGTTAACCCTTTATCTGACCTCCCGTTGCTGAACCCGGCCCGTGACCTGAGTATTCTTTGCCTACCGTCTAGTACTGTCTGCTCCGTTGTTATTGACCTGGCTTGTCTGACTACTCTACTCGTGTTCCCATCTAGCTCCCACCAGCTGTACGCCATTGGCGGCAGTCGTTATCGCAGCTGGGGTCACTCGGGGGCCGCGACCTGGTCTCAGGCTGCGTCAAGTCCATCCCCACCATCAGGGGCCCTGGTGAAGGGTAGCCTGGGGCTTAGACTCCGCGCCCTGAGGGACTCTGGTCTGTGGGTAGTGGCTGTCGTCAGTCGCAGCGTGACCGTACCATAGGCCTGCCTGCCCATTCCAGCGTTCCTGCCCTGACACATGGTAGTTCATTGAAAATTAAAAGCTGACAGCCGCTAAGGCTGTCAGAACTTGCAGTTCATTCATTCACGGAAGTCCGGTAATGAATAATGCAGCTGTGTGGGGGCGAAGCCCTGCACGGCCACGCTGTTTTCAAATCTGACAGTAGAGGTGGCGGGCACGCCTGCTTCTATGGGAACATGTTACATGTTCCACCCTAGAAATGGGTGAAAGGTGAACTTATCCTTTAAAAACAACATATGTGAATTTTGCACAAAAATAATGTCAAAACAGTGATTTGATACCTGTACATCATAAACACCAAATTTCTGTTCCTAATTTTCATGACATACAGAGAGAAGAAGCCTGGACTTAGAGGCATAGGCCATCTTTTGCAAAACTTTAACAAGTGTACCCAAATTAAAGGATAAGTTCACCTTTGGGAACATGTTACATGTTCCACCCATTTTTAGGGTGGAACATGTAACATGTTCTCACTACTTCAGCCTCTCCTTGAATTGTTGGCTCTCCTGATAACGAACCAGGTATCTTCTCAAACTTGCTGTCACAGTTTAAAAAAAAAATGCAGCAGTGCAGGGCTGCGCACACCCAGATGCAACTTTCATTTACATAGTTCTGTGAATGGGAGAACTACAAGTACTGCCAGCCTTTGCGGCTTGTAATTTTCAATTAACAACTAGGGTGCTGTTGAGTGCTCTAGGTAGTTCATTGTTTCTCCCTGTCATTGTGTAACTGCCTGCCCATACAAGGTACGAAAAGACAGCTTGCACCGACTGTCCTGCATTCCACCCCCGATCTACTGATTTGCAGGCTCCTAGTAAAAAAAAATAATAAATGCACATGTTTTTACCTGCAAAAGGATGTACAGTATCTCACAGAAGTGAGTACACCCCTCACATTTTTGTAAATATTTTATTATATCTTTTCATGTGACAACACTGAAGAAATGACACTTTGCTACAATGTAAAGTAGTGAGTGTACAGCTTGTATAACAGTGTAAATTTGCTGTCCCTCAAAATAACTCAACACACAGCCATTAATGTCTAAACCGCTGGCAACAAAAGTGAGTACACCCCTAAGTGAAAATGTCCAAATTGGGCCCAATTAGCCATTTTCCGTCCCCGATGTCATGTGACTCGTTAGTTTTACAAGGTCTCAGGTGTGAATGGGGAGCAGGTGTGTTAAATTTGGTGTTATCGCTCTCTCATACTGGTCACTGGAAGTTCAACATGGCACCTCATGGCAAAGAACTCTCTGAGGATCTGAAAAAAAGAATTGTTGCTCTACATAAAGATGGCCTAGGCCAGTGGTCGGCAAGCCGCGGCTCGCGAGCCACATGCGGCTCTTTACACGCTTTAATGCGGCTCTTGTGTGCCGGTTGCCCGCTCCCCTCCCTCCTCTCGGGCGGCAGGGACTCTGCAGCGTGATCCAAAAAAAAAAAAACAGCCAGGGCAGCGCGCTCAAATGCAATGATTGGCCAGTCTCGCTGCCACTCACATCCTGATAGCCAGTGATTGGCTGTCAGGATGTGTGTAGGCGGGGCAGCGTGACGAACGGGAGAGGAGCTAGGCTCCTCTCACAGTCCGCCCTGAAGACCGGAACAGTGCGGGAACACGGCGAGAGGAACGCGCGGAGCAAAGGTAAGTGAATTGACACAGGGGGGGCTTGGCTTACTACTTACTACTACTATATGAGGGATGAATTAATATGGGGGATGAATTACTATAGGGGGGATGAATTACTATGGGGGATGAATTACTATAGGGGGGATGAATTACTATAGGGGGGATGAAGTACTATAGGGGGGATGAAGTACTATAGGGGGGATGAATTACTATATGGGGGATGAATGACTATAGGGGGGATGAATTACTATGGGGGATGAATTACTATATGGGGGATGAATTACTATATGGGGGATGAATTACTATGGGGGATGAATTACTATAAAAACTTATTGAAACTAAAAACAGTGTACCATCCTATGTATTTTCAGTTCTAAAAATGTGGCTCTCAAAATAAATTTCAATCGTGGTTTTGGCGAGATTTGGCTCAGTTGAAAAAAAAGGTTGCCCACCACTGGCCTAGGCTATAAGAATATTGCCAAGATCCTGATACTGAGCTGCAGCATGGTGGCCAAGACCATACAGCAGTTTAAAAGGACAGGCTTCAATCAGAACAGGCCTCGCCATGGTCGACCAAAGATGTTGAGTGCATGTGCTCAGCATCATATCCAGAGGTTGTCTTTGGGAAATAGATGTATGAGTGCAGCCAGCATTGCTGCAGAGGCTGAAGGGGTGGGAGGTTAGCCTGTCAGTGCCCATACCATATGCCGCACACTTCAAATTGGTCTGCATGGCTGTCATCCCAGAAGGAATTTTCTTCTAAAGATGGTACACAAGAAAGCCCGCAAACAGTTTGCTGAAGACAAGCAGATTAAGGACATGGATTACTGGAACCATGTCCTGTGGTCTGATGAGACCAAGATAAACTTATTTGGTTCAGAGGGTCTCAAGCGTGTGTGGCGGCAACCAGGTGAGGAGTACAAAGACAAATGTGTCTTGCCTACAGTCAAGCATGGTGGTAGAAGTGTCATGGTCTGGGGCTGTATGAGGCCCCAAGACGACCACTGCCTTGCTAAAGAAGCTGAAGGTACAGGTGATGGACTGGCCAAGCATGTCTCCAGACCTAAACCCTATTGAGCATCTGTGGGGCATCCACAAATGGAAGGTGGAGGAGCGCAAGGTCTCTAACATCCACCAGCTCCATGATGTCGTCATGGAAGAGTGGAAGAGGACTCCAGTGGCAACCTGTGAAGATCTGGTGAACTCCATACTCAAGAGGGTTAAGGCAGTGCTGGAAAATAATGGTGGCCACACAAAATAATGACACTTTGGGCCCAATTTGGACATTTTCACGTAGGGGTGTACTCACTTTTGTTGCCAGCGGTTTAGATATTAATGGCTGTGTAATGAGTTACTTTGAGGGGACAACAAATTTACACTGTTATACAAGATGTACATTCACTACTTTATATTGTAGCAAAGTGTCATTTCATACATGAAAAGATATAATAAAATATTTACAAAAATGTGAGGGGTGTACTCACTTCTGGGAGATACTGTACATTTACTATTTTTTTTTAGAAAGGTGAAATTATCCTTTAACTAAATAAAAATGTGTATTTATTAAATGTTTGCATGGAAGCCTGCAGAGCATTGCAACAGCGATCAGTGCAGTGCGTGTGCAACGCGCAGGCTCCTGCATTGTTTATGTCCCAACCCAAGGTCCATATGTTGGTACAGACCCTAGGTTAAGGTGTTGGAGGTAGTAATCAAATGGACTATATAGTGCATTGACATCACCGCACTTGGGCTAGCGCTCAGTGAGTTTCTCTGCCACCGTGGCAGATGGAACACGCGGTCTTTCCACTCATAAGTCTCTGTGAATGGATGCCGCATGGGCAGATACTCCAGGGCAAAGAACCCTGTGATTCAGGTAAGCAAAAGGGGTGGTTTGAGGGCAGGAAGTTGAGGAGTGTGACCACGTTTCATGTTATACTGTAAATATGGGTGTAATATGAAATTCAGTCTCACAGGTGGATTGTGCCTTTAATAGTAGGTGGTTTATTTCCCACTGACACAGTTTAAGTTGTGAAGTATGCAAGTTTATAAAGAATATCTTGGTTTGCTGCACTGGTTTTATTGATGTGTGCTTGTGGTCATTAAGCAGAACTAACAGTTATCTATGCTGCTATAAGGAAGCCAGTGAAAGTATGGTGAAATAAGCATTTTCAGTTTAAGGTCACAGGCGGCAACTGTCAGTTACCTTAAAGTAGGTTAGAAGGATGCCTGGTAAACTGGCACAGCATTAGTACATTTACAGGCCAAGAGGGAGAGAGCTGGGTAATAGGATAAGGGGACACGAGTGCAGGGTTACAGGATGAAGGTAGCAGAGGACAGGGTAACAGGATAACACTTCACCCGTCTGTTGTGTTTCCTAACACAGCTGAAAGACAATACTGTAGTGGGTCATAACCTCTAGCCTTCCTGACTTCTTGTAAGTTTTAGTGCCCAGCACTGCAAAAAAACAAGAACTGGTCTACAGAATTGTCAAATATTTCCAATCAAACACGTACAGGACCTGTAGAGAACAGACTAAATACTTACCTTTCCTGCTGTCTGTACCACTGAATACTACTCTGCAGAAGTCTGATCAGTGGAGGAGAGCAGACAAAGCACAGCTACAGAACTGACCACACTGAGCTCTACTGCCTAGTGTGGTCAGTTTTAATAGGGAAGAAGAGGACTTAGCAGGAACACCAGGGATTTCACACAAAGGAAGCAATACAACAAGAACAGGATTATTTTTTTTTTTCATATATAAGTACATTGTACAGCAGGCATATACACTATATTGCCAAAAGTATTGGGATGCCTACCTTTACACACATAAACTTTAATGGCATCCCAGTCTTAGTCCGCAGGGTCCAGTATTGAGTTGGCCCACCCTTTGTAGCTTTAGCAGCTTCAACTCTTCTGGGAAGGTTGTCCACAAGGTTTAGGAGTGTGTCTATGGGAAGGTTTGATCATTCTTCCAAAAGTGCATTTGTGAGGTCAGGCACTGATATAAGATGAGAAGGCCTGGCTCGCAGTCTCCACTCTAATTCATCCCAAAGTTGTTCTATCAGGTTTGGTCAGGACTCTGTGCAGGCCAGTCAAGTACCTCTACCCCAAACTTGCTCATCCATGTCTTTATGGACCTTGCTTTGTGCACTGATGCGCACTCATGTTGGAACAGGAAGGGGCCATCCCCAAACTGTTCCCACAAAGTTGGGAGCATGAAATTGTACAAAATGTCTTGGTATGCTGACGCTTTAAGAGTTCCCTTCACTGAAACTAAGGAGCCAAGCCCAACCCCTGAAAAACAACGCCACACCATAACCCCCCCCTCCACCAAACTTTACAGTTGGCACAATGCAGTCAGGCAAGTATCGTTCCCCTGGCAGCCGCCAAACCCAGACATATCCATCAGATTACCAGACAGAGAATCGTGATTTGTCACTCCTGCATCCAAGGTTAGCTATATGCATAAATAGGTGCTGTAGCGACCATCGGCTGGAACCAAAAAGACTCAGGTGGGAAGAACGTCACCAGCACACCGAGGATCTCCAGTTATGGGTCCAAAGCTTTAATAGGCAATCACATAGTTACAACAAGTGCTTAGTTTCAGAGTCTTGCAGGACCCCTTCATCAGGTAGTGACGGCAATTGCGATGTTTCAAAATCTCGCAGGACCCCTTCATCAGGCATGTAATAACTATGTGATTGCTTATTAATGCGTTGGACCCATAACTGGAGATCCTCAGTGTGCTGGTTACTTTCTTCCCATCGTCACTCCAGAGAACACATCTCCACTGCTCTGGAGTCCAGTGGCAGCGTGCTTTACACCACTGCATCCGACGCTTTGCATTGCACTTGGAGATGTAAGGCTAAACCCATTCCATGAAGCTCTCTACACACTGTTATTGTGCTAATCTGAAAGGCCACATGAAGATTGGAGGTCTTTAGCTATTGACTCTGCAGGCAGTTGGCAACTTCTGCGCACTGTGCGTTGACCCTACTCTGTCATTTTACGTGGCCTACCACTTCGTGGCTGGGTTGCTGTTGTTTCCAGTTGATTCCACTTTGTTGTAACACCACTAACAGATGACTGTGAAATATTTAGTAGCAAGGAAAATTCACAGGTGGACTTATTGCACAGGTGGCAACCTATCACGTACCACGCTTGAAGTTTCTGAGAGCGACCCATTCTTTCACAAATGTTTGTAAAAGCAGTCTGCATGCCTAGGTGCTTGATTTTATACACCTGTGGTCATGGAAGTGATTGGAACACCTGAATCCAATGACTTGGAGGGGTGTCCCAATACTTTTGGCAATATAGTGTATCAGGAATATGAAATGCCGGGTTTGCATATTCTTTAAAGTGTTACTAAACCCAGGACCCTGAATTCACTAAATCTGGTCTCCCACATGCAATTATTTTAGCAAATATAAACTGCTAAATACCTTTTTTCATCAGCAGTATATAGCAGTCTTGTGACTTTATCAGTGTCCAACTGAGCACTGGTTAATCTTGTAGGAGGAGTTTTCATTCTCATCTGACTGTCCTATGAGGCTTCATGACCCCTGACCCTCTGTCTGGACAGTGCCGATTACATGCACCCTTCCCAAAAAAGAAAAAAAAAACTCTCTAGCAATACACAGCAAACTTAGCGTGTGCAGAGTGCCTCCTAGGGCTCTGTACTATAAGCAGATGGACTGGGGACTGTGGAAGAATGGGAGGATAAGAGAAGACAGGATCAAACAGCCTTTTTATATATAATGCAGAAGATTAACCCCTTAGGTTCCACAGTGAGTATAACAATCATGTTTTACTGCATATACAGACTGATTTTACTAATGTAGGTTTAGTAACATTTTAAGGATACATAATTGTCTATGGATACAATTTTTTTTTAGTTCAGTGTTGTTACTTGAAGGATGAGGCCATATTGTGTATGTGCCACATGAATGCCACCACTAAAGGGGAGATGTAAAGATCAATAGTGTGTAGTCCACAGTGGCAGTGCCCCTGGCTACATGCTGTCAATATTTAATTGTTGGCCCTTAACAGCAGTGGTGGCCAATAGGGTCTATTCTGTATTTTGTAAACGTTAGCTCAAACACTTACTTTTATACAGTGTAAAATATGGTCTAAATCTGAGCCCATAGGCCCATAGCCTTCTATTACTGTTGTATTATTATTACAAGTACTTATATAGTGCCATCATTTTACACAGCGCTTTACATATATACAGTATCTCACAGAAGTGAGTACACCCCTCACATTTTTGTAAATATTTTATTATATCTTTTCATGTGACAACACTGAAGAAATGACACTTTGCTACAATGTAAAGTAGTGAGTGTACAGCTTGTATAACAGTGTAAATTTGCTGTCCCCTCAAAATAACTCAACACGCAGCCATTAATTTCTAAACCGCTGGCAACAAAAGTGAGTACACCCCTAAGTGAAAATGTCCAAATTGGGCCCAATTAACTATTTTCCTCCCCAGTGTCATGTGACTCATTAGTGTTACAAGGTCTCAGGTGTGAATGGGAAGCAGGTGTGTTAAATTTGGTGTTATCGCTCTCACACATTTCATACTGGTCACTGGAAGTTCAACATGGCACTTCATGGCAAAGAACTCTCTGAGGATCTGAAAAAAAGAATTGTTGCTCTACATAAAGATGGCCTAAGCTATAAGAAGATTGCCAAGACCCTGAAACTGAGCTGCAGCACGGTGGCCAAGACCATACAGAAGTTTAACAGGACAGGTTCCACTCAGAACAGGAATCGCCATGGTCGACCAAAGATGTTGAGTGCATGTGCTCAGCATCATATCCAGAGGTTGTCTTTGGGAAATAGATGTATGAGTGCAGCCAGCATTGCTGCAGAGGTTGAAGGGGTGGGGGGTTAGCCTGTCAGTGCCCATACCATATGCCGCACACTGCATCAAATTGGTCTGCATGGCTGTCATCCCAGAAGGAATCTTCTTCTAAAGATGGTACACAAGAAAGCCCACAAACAGTTTGCTGAAGACAAGCAGACTAAGGACATGGATTACTGGAACCATGTCATGTGGTCTGATGAGACCAAGATAAACTTATTTGGTTCAGAGGGTCTCAAGCGTGTGTGGCGGCAACCAGGTGAGGAGTACAAAGACAAATGTGTCTTGCCTACAGTCAAGCATGGTGGTAGAAGTGTCATGGTCTGGGGCTGCATGAGGCCCCAAGATGACCACTGCCTTGCTAAAGAAGCTGAGGGTAAAGGTGATGGACTGGCCAAGCATGTCTCCAGACCTAAACCCTATGGTGGAGGAGCGCAAGGTCTCTAACATCCACCAGCTCCGTGATGTCGTCATGGAGGAGTGGAAGAAGACTCCAGTGGCAACCTGTGAAGATCTGGTGAACTCCATGCCCAAGAGGGTTAAGGCAGTGCTGGAAAATAATGGTGGCCACACAGGATATTGACACTTTGGGCCCAATTTGGACATTTTCACTTAGGAGTGTACTCACTTTTGTTGCCAGCGGTTTAGACATTAATGGCTGTGTAATGAGTTATTTTGAGGGAACAGCAAATTTACACTGTTATACAAGCTGTACACTCACTACTTTACATTGTAGCAAAGTGTCAATTCTTCAGTGTTGTCACATGAAAAGATCGAATAAAATATTTACAAAAATGTTAGGGGTGTACTCACTTCTGTGAGATACTGTATATTGTACATTCATATCAGTCTCTGCCATCAAGGTGACTACAATCTAAGGTCCCTAAGGGCTAGTTCACACTTGACTTCTTCCCAAACGCCCCTGTAGAGTTAGCCAGGCATTTTACAAGCGTTAAAAACGCTCCCCAAACGCCCTATGCACGGTTTTATAGGTGTTTTACAAGCCTTAGAACCGCACCAAAAGCAGCTATAATGGTATTAATGCCCTGCAAATGCCTGCCAGACATTTGGGGAGCGTCACCATAGTCTTAAATGGGAGGAGTTGAAAGGCTTAAACTCCTCCTGACTCAACATGCTAATGCTTCAGTGTGAACACTGCCATGTGTATCATTTTCATAGGCGTTTGAGGAGCGTTAAAAACGCCCCTCAAACGCTTGCTTTCAATGCTAGTGTGAACTGCGCCCAACTCACATTCATACATACACATATTAGGGTCAATTAGCCTACCAGCATGTCTTTGGAGTGTGGCAGGAACCAAGAGTACCTGGAGGAAACCCACGCAGGCACAGGGAGAACATGCAAACTGCAGCCTGGTAGTGCCATGGTTGGGATTCAAACCAACAACCCTGGTGCTGCTAGGCAGAAGTGTTAGTATGCATTTTGAAGCCCATGTTAATGCGCCCTTAGACAGGCAAGTAGAGATCCACTTTAATGCATCATATCAGTGTGCGTGTTTATTTGAATTGAGACTTCTCCAGGGTAGTATTTATCTTGCAGAAAATAGGCTATTGGCCAAAAAAAGTGTCATCATATCTGCCAGTAATATATATTCTGAGGCTGAGATATCGTCATCATCAGCTGTTCTTGCTGAAACTGGATATATCACATGACAGTCATCTATGATGGCAATTTTCCAGCTTCCAAGTATTGCTCCCTAATATCCAGGAAAATGAAAGGAACTCTGCCACTGTATGCGCACTAAAAATTGCAAGGGTAAGGAGAACAGCCATGATGGCTGTGGTTGTTTGGTGATCATTAAAGATTTTTTTTTAATGGAAACCAACAAAGGATCTGCCATTGTACAGCTAGGAATAAGTCAATGAATAATGAATGAGCTCTCCACATTCAGCTAAGAAATGAAAAGTTCCTTCAGTGAGGCTGGAGCAGCAAAGGCGATTTTAGATGGTGCAGTTTTACAGGCCATTGATTGCTTACTTTGGAAGACATTGAGGGAGATTTAGTAAAACTGGAGCACTCAGAATCTGGTGCAGCTGTGTATAGTAACCAATCAGCTTCTTACTTCAGCTTGTTCAATTAAGCTTTGGCAACAAAACGTGGAAACTGATTGGTTTCTATGCAGAACTGCACCAGATTTTGCATTCTCGAACTTTAGTAAATCTCCTCCATTGAGTTTACAGTTCAAGGACATTTTTAGGCTGGCCATACACTGCAATTGTACTTTGACAGCCAGTGGCGGCAGCTGTCAGAACACTTGAACAGTGGCTGCATCTGATTGGATGTAGGCACTCTTCGGCCGACAATTTTCTGCTCGGCTCCTTTGATTAGAAATCAGGCAGAAGCAGATGAAATGTGAACAGTGTATAGCTAGCCTAAGGCAGTCCATACATAAGTCGACCTCCAAAATAATTTTCTTAAGAATTTTGCACCATTAGTGAGCTATTGAATTTGAGTGATTGAGCATGTTGGAAATTTTTGAAAAACTAACGAATTTCTAATCAATGATGGGAGAATCGTGCAAACAATATAATCGAAAAAGAAATGAGCATGAGCTGTGACTTGGAAAGAAAAGAAGATTCCCAGGCACAAAAATTATTTTCTGTAGCAACATGAGCTGAAATTGAAGTCTTGGTTGGTTGAATTTCGATATCAGTGGTGGCACCATTAGATTACAAAACAAACAAAATTTCCGTTCAGAATTTGACCCATGTATGGCCTGCCCTAATCATGAGATTTCGGACATTAGCACAATGCTCCATATCAGACGTATTGCAGGAAGCAGTAGCAATTCTGCTTTTTCGGAAATGTTACAACATTTTTAATATACTCATCCTGTCCCCCACCCTTTTTTTAAAGCAATGGTAAGCAATTTATCACCTGATAAAAAGTGTTGTTTCGGGTTAGAGATGATTGCTCAATTGTGTAATTAAAAAGAAAAATCACCATGAACGCCCTTAGTGGCCAGTAAGTGGAGCACTCCACCATAAGCCTGTCCAGTTGAGCTAGTTTCAGGACTTTCACACTTCTTCTAAGACTGGCCATAGATGGCTCGAATTTCAAGCTGTTAGTGGCCCTGTGAGCATCACTTGGCCTGACAAAAATCAATTTAAAAATTGTCTGTGCTTGGTGGAAAATTATCAGATGGACAGTGACAGAATCCTATAAGATACAATCACTGCTAGACAACACTGTCTTACACAAGCAGCTGCTAGTGCTGAATACAGTGACCAGCAGTAGAGAATACTCCATCCATGCTGTTTGGTGTGGATGGGAGAATCAACAGATTTCGAGACATTTACGGCTCGCCTAAAGGAGTTCTATGGTCACAGCATACACTTTCATTTTATAACATCAACATTGTAATACCAAAATAAACAATAGCTATATTTGACAATCCAATATAAACTTACCTTAAAAATCTCCTTTTACGTTGTCAGTTCTCCGTCTACTGGCCGTCTCTTTCTACAACTTCTTGGATTCCCTGCATGCTTTCCAGATTCTCCTTGCTGTTTGAGTTTCTAAGGACTACATAGCCCATGGCACCTTGCTGTCTGCAGTCAGCGATTCCTGTACTGACTCCACCTCTGTTGTTCAGAAGGCAAGCTCTGTGAAATGTGTGACCCAACAGTGCCTACTCACAGGGCATAGTTAACCACTTGCCTACAGGCCACTTATACCCCCTTCCTGCCCAGGCCAGTTTTCAGCTTTCAGCGCTGTCACACTGAATGACAATTGCACGGTCATGCAACACTGTACCCATATGAAAAATTTTTATAATTCTTTTGAGACAGATAGAGCTTTCTTTTGGTAGTATTTAATCACCTCTGGGTTTTTATTTTTTGCTAAAGAAACCAAAACAACTGAAAATTTTGAAAAAAAAAAAAGTTTTTTCTTAGTTTTTGTTATAAAATTTTGTAAATAAGTGATTTTTGTCCTTCACTGATGTGCGCTAATGAGGCTGCAGTGATGGGCACTGATAGGCTACACTGATAGATGACACTGATGGGCCCTGATGAGGCACTAGTAGGTGGCACTGATGGGCATTGACAGGCATCACTGATGGGCACTTAAAGGCTCATATATGGCACTGATAGCACTCATATATAGGCACTGATAAGGCGGCACTGATGCGCACTGATAGGCCGCACTGACAGGTGGCACTGACTGGCACTGATTTGCAGCACTGATAGGTGGCACTGACTGGCATTGATAGGTGGCACTGATAGGTGACACTGAAAAGCAGCTCAGATGGACACTGATATGTGGCATTGATGTGCACTGGTAGGCAGATATGTGGCATTGATGAGGCACTGGCAGGTAGCATTGATAAGCACTGACAGCTGGCATTGATGGACACTGACAAATGGCACTGCTGGGGCTACACTGATCATCAGGGCACACTGATCATTTGCGGTTTTTTGCAAAGTTATACTCCCACAAAATCTTTAGGCTCAAAAACGCTCATAAACACCAGATAGCCACGTTTATTTTGGCGTTTTTTAGCTTTTATCAGTGTTAGAGCATTTTTACAGTTAAAAAACTCCTCTTGAAACCTACTAGTTCTGGGTTTTTTTTCCAGGCAGAAAACGCTTCTGCCAAAAAAGCGCTGATTAACCCCTTCACGCCGGCACCTCTCGGCCCTTTAAGGGTTCCAGAATCTGGGGGGGGCGGGGGGTTTAGGGTCATGTGACCGCTGTGACGGCAGGTACATGATTGGGAAAGGTCCCGATCACGTAACCGCTGTCACATGATCAAAAGAGATCGGGACCTTTCTGTGAGTACCGGACATGTGTGCTGGGAGCAGGCAGGGTGCGCGCTCTTGGCACATATGTCCTTTTTTAATAGAACGCAATGTGCGGCCGCTCGGCGTCTAGGCCCAGACACACACAGGCACATTTGTGTGTGGCCGGTGTGAAGAGGTTAAAGCCTATATGTGCATGAATACATAGGATAACATGCTGGGGAGTTTGCTGGCTGTAGAAAAAAATGCCAGAAGCCAAAAATAGCCGCTGTAAAACCGTCCAGTAAGCATGAGGACTAAGGGTGAGAACTCAGCGATCACAGTGGCTGTGAGCACAGAGTGGTAACTGTCAG